GAGGAGGAGGAGGAGTATAGTAGTAGTAGTAGTAGTAGTAGTATTAGTATCAGCAGCAGCACCTCAGTGGGAGAAGTAATAGCAGCACTGGCAGAAGTACTGCAGGATGCTATCAGCACACGTCATGCGGAAAACCGTCTGACATCCCCGGCTCCATGGTAGAAGTTTTGCGACCATTGGCCGGAATACTTCTCCTGGTCGGTTCACTTCTGGCGCTGAAAGCAGGTTTCGGATATGGGCATTCTTGACGTGAAGCACCGCAAATCTTTAGCACTCTGTCACGGGAAACTAGGTTTCACAAAGGGACAGGGTGGTTACAGCCCCTTACAGGAACATCCTACACTTTTATCAACCCCGAGTCACTGAAACGAAACCTGAATGGCACACTGCAAATCTGTAGTGGTCCTTGTGGTTGCGGACACAGCTTCCCGAACCGTGCCGCTTGTCCTTCGGCATTGCGCTCAACAACATTGGCTTCCCACATGTGGCGTTGAGTCTCTGAGCTTCTAAGCCGATAAGGATCCTATACCAAACTCCTACCAAACGTCTGAAAACTGTTTGCAATCTGAGACTTTCGCAATCAGAAAGGGCTTGAACAGCTAGCAGGCAAAAACGCATGGCAGCAAGTTGCCTCAACATCTCTCTTGTTTGCATCCTGTGGCGACTTTGTTTTGCGTGTTCGCCTGTTTCCACTTTTGATCTTGCAGCCTTGTCGAAGGTTTCGGGAGGAGCTCCGAACTCAAGCAATGGCTACATGTTTGATACAGTACAGGGGCCTCGGCCTATATATCTCATGGCTGCTGCGTCAGTGCCGGTGCAGAATACACCAAGACGACGGCGGCGATAAGCCTGGAACTTCAAGTTCGGTTCGACGTCAATTGCAGCAAAGACTCTGTCACCCACTGGCCATCGTAGGTATACAAAACCTGTGGCCCAGGGTCGGCTTAACAGCTGCAAGACACACCGTATGGGTTCTGGTACTGCGCGAGTCGGGTTGGCTACTCCCTGCCTTGCCAGCACTCTCAATCGTCAGCGTCCCAGTGCCGTGACGACGATCCCGCAACCACTGGCCGTCGTACTGCATGTGACTCCTGACTCGAAGCGATGACAGCTGCATGAACCATAAGCCGACCAAGCTGCAGGCCTCTTGCTGGTGTACACGCCAGCACCTTCCCGCATACCACGGCGAAACTGACCATGGTACTCGTCACCATTTGCGAATTTGTACCTGTGCAAAGGGCAGGCATGGCATCGGCTGAAGCGCAGTTGGACAAACAGCTCATGGCGCACATACCGTGGCCTTCGCGCGGCGGCTTTGGCCGACGCTCCGGCACAGGCAGCTTGTGTGCCTTCAGAAACGACATCAACGGTACCACTCCAAGTCTATCGTCAAGAAATGTAAAGAACTTGCACTAGTCACTAGCCTGCAACCACGTGCGTCCTCCGTGGGTCCGCCTTAGCTGTCGACTCCATCTGAGATCATACTCAACTAGTGACGGATCGCCACTTAGGCATGTGCCACAAGGTACGGCTAAGGCCACGGCGAGACCCATCTTTGCAAAAACGGAAGGCCGAATCGACTCAACTCGGTCTTCTGTTGCTTGGAGGCTACCTCCAACGTGCTGATGCAAACAAAAAACCGAAACAAAGCGATGGGCCCCGTCGGACACGGTATCTGCACACCTACCTGAATCTTAAAAAATTGTCGTGCCGGTGTGTGCCGATTTAGATCCGCGGCTCCGGAATTTGCCGCACAAACCTTACGAAGAGCGTACTCAACTACGGCTCAAAGATGCTCAAGGCTCAAAGTGTCCTGAGTGCACATCTGTGCACCCGTGTCTATCCTTGAATGTTAAGACTTGGCTGTTCAAGGCTTCGGGAACGAAAAGTATGAGCACCGCCTCATAGGCCTCCCCTACTTGCAGGGCGCATCGAACTCCTGCGGAGTTAAACCAGGATGCAAGCATTACCAGGGGTAACAATTACCATGCATGGTGCCCAGAGCACCTTCCTGGTTGGTTTGCTCCCCAGCAGGCGCGTTAGCCCATCGCCCCGCTGTCATTCACCATTATCTCACCCATGGTGCGTTGGCCCCAAGGAGCATTGGGAATACCCATGCGCACTGCGCCCCACACCCGGCCAACGGTGCGGAAGGAGTGCGTGTATGGGGTGATGCTATCTCCTTCTGGGTAGGGCGCAAGCGAAACTCACAACACACTCATTGAAGCAGTTGCACCCGCACACTTGTGCCCGGTACCGGCAGATGCACCTTTCTGAATCTGGTGCTGCACCCAATCTGCATTCCGCAGCCAGCCAAAGCAACTTCGCAACTTGCAAGGATCATCCAGCTCAGAAGACGCTGCCGTGGACTGCCGACTGCACCAGAACAACGAAGAGTGTCATACCTTCATCTGCACCCAACTACCGCGCACGGTGGCCAGAGTGCTTTGCAAGTCGGTTTTCAGCCTTAGCCCATGGCTCTGCTGTCATTCGCCGGAATTCACGCTTCTCACCCATGTTGCGCTGGCCCCAAGTAGCAGCGGGAAGCAAAGGAATATAATGGAAATACCCGTGCACACTGCGACTCACAATTACTCACCCAAGCGGTCGCAGACCCGGACTCGCGTGCCCTCTACCAGAAACGCGTCTTCAGCAGATGCCACATTTCCGCACTGAAGATGATGCACCTTTCTGAATCTGTGACTGGCGATGTCTTTTGTGCTCTTGACAAACGCAGCTTCGCAGCGTTGCATGAGACATGCGAC